ATTAGCCGTATTTAGTAACTGTCTTGCTTATCACATGGACTGTAGAGATATCACAGTGCTTGTGTTCAAGTGACCTTTATTTCACATCTCATGAGTAGTGATGCTGGCAATTGGGATATGCCAAAGAGAAGACATAAAGTGTTTCCTTGAAGTGGAAAGGCATGTGCAGAATGCACATGAAACAAACATAGTACATATACGGTTCAGCACTCTCTGTGGTTTCAGGCACCCACTTGGGGTCTTGGATGAGGATAAGGGGATTACTGTAGTCCTCTAAATATGTGAGCTATTGCAGGAGACATCGATTTACTAATTTAGAACTGGAGCTAATGTTCTGCTTGAGAGAACTTCCTCCTGGAGGGCATGTCCTCAGACAACCAAGCAATTTATCAAAACACTGCTGGGGAGTACAGAGTTGGCTTGCTGCGTGTTGGTGGGTATAAAGGGCCATGCCTGTGCTTCAGTCCCCTGGGGCACTTCATTCTTAAGACCCAAGGGTGGTTGTCAGGTGACAGATGGAGGTGTTAGCTTACGCTGTGGTGGGGATCATTTTGCAATATAAGGGTATCAAGTCAACGCTTTGTACACCTTACACCTACTCAGTGTTATATGTTAATTATATCGCAATAAAGTTCAAGTGGGGGGGACAGAAATCAAAGAAGCCCAACGACTAGTGAAGGTGATGTTGGGCTGAATCTTGTTCTTTGGCTGCCTGGCTTCAGACCCTCTATAGACCATTGACCCTTACCGCTTTAGGTGGTGAAAGCAGCTTTCCTGTGGAGGCTGTGCCGTGGTAGCTTGGTGGTGGTGCACAGAAATCAGTCACCTGGCCCAGCCCGGGTGTGTTGTAGGCCAAACTGTCAGAGAACAGCGATTTGGTAAGTCACAGGTAGAAGAAGGTAGAAGTAATTCCTCAGAGAAGGGGCTTAGGAAACAAGCTGTGGAGGTAAAGGAAGGGCCCTTGGAGCCTGGGAGTGAGGAAGGTGATGGTGGAGGTGAGGGGAAGGGGAAGGGGAGGGAGAGCATGCTGGGTCCTTATCCTAAGATTTTTTAAAAATTATTTTTAACTATCTTTCGTATATTTTTTATATATATTTTTATTGACTTCAGAGAGGAAGGGAGAGGAAGTGAGATAGAAACATCATTGATTGGCTACCTCCTGCACGTTGGACTGAGCCCACAGTCCAGGCATGTGCCCTTGACCGGAATCGAACCTGGGTCGATGCTCTATCCACTGAGCCAAACCATCCAGGGCCTTATCCTAAGATTTTTAAGGGAGATCTTAGGGGAGGTCGCAGGGGAAGATCTCAATAGAGCATCCAGCAGCTTTCCAGGGGTCCTTTCAGGGTTGTGGTCTGCACTGACTGATTGGTGGGCCCAGGGCAGGGGGCATTACTCAGTGCAGCTGCTCTGAGGTCAGCCATGGGGTCGCTGGTCTGGCTTGGCTGCTTCTCTGGGCCTGGAGCTGAAATATAACTGGGGACTAGATGTTATGTATGGGAGGAAAGGTCAGGGGGTCCAAACCTCATGACCAGTGATGTGCTAGGGGAGGAAAGGTCACCCTGGGGGCGAGGTCCCCCCTACAGTTGTTCTTTGCTTGGCACCTGGGGCTCTCCACCCTGGGGACCTTCTGTACTGGCCCATCGTCCTGTTCTGCTCATGTCTAACTGCCCCACAGTTAGCCCTGGAGTTTCCCAAGCTTCTGTGGCAGTGTATGCGTGGGTCACCCCTCGCCCATCCGTGCTGCTTTACTCTGAGTGGGATGTCTGTCTGACCCCCGACCCATATTCCAGGTGCTTGTTATTGTAGCTCTGTGTTCAGTTCAGCCTTGTGCCAAGTGCTGGGGAGCGAGCTGTGAACAAGCTAGACACAGGCCCTGCCCTCATGGAATCTAGTGTTTGTTGGGAAAGACAGAGATGAAGTGATGAGAAGTGTGATGAAGTTTATGAAAGTAGGAGTCAGGGTGCATGGACCATGTTGCAAGGGGCTGACTGTGGGGTAGGGGTGAAGGAAGGGGTGAGGAATGGTCTTTATAGTCTTGAAGGGTGAGTAGGAGTCAGCCAGGCTAAGGGGGGAGGATGGTTCTCAAGGCCTCAGGAAATGAAAGGTATGAGGGGAGAGGGGAGGAGAGCTCTAGGTGAGCAGGAGAGAGCCAGGGCAGGCCAGAGGGGAGCCAGGAGGAAGAAAGGTCTGGCTTTTATCCTGAGGACAGACGTTGATAAGGGTTTTCAGGTATATGTTGGGGGCGGGGGGGGGGGGGGGAGACGGGGCGGGCATGGTCAGATTAGTATTTTTTTAAAAACATATATTTTATTGATTTTTACAGAGAGGAAGGGAGAGGGATAGAGAGTTAGAAACATCGATGAGAGAGAAACATTGATCAGCTGCCTCCTGCACACCCCCTATTGGGAATGTGCCTACAACCAAGGTACATGCCCTTGACCGGAATCGAACCTGGGACCCTTAAGTCCGCAGGCCAAACTGGTTAGGGCTCAGATTAGTATTTTTAAAGGATCACTTTGGCTGCATGTGGAGATTAGGTGTGTGTGTGTGGGGGGAGTCGGGGGGACTGAGGGGGGGAGGAGGGGGACGGAGGTTGTTATAAGAATGGAAGCCATTCTTACAACAATTTGGGGTTGTTGCAGTGTTCCAGACATATAATGACCACTACTCGGATTTGGAGATGGGGTGAGGTGGGCTGGAGTGTGCCGCTGGGGTTGCAGAGAACTGGGCAGGTTTTACGGAAGTAGATTAGACAGGATTTGAAGTCGATAGCAGTACAGGAGGAGGAGTTAAGGATGACTTAGTTTTAACTTAATGGGAACCAGAGAGGGGAAGCTGCTTTGTAACTTCATCACCTTAGCTCTTTTACTCATTGTGTAGCTGAAGGTTTCTTTATGCAGAGTTTGGGAGCCCTGCAATTTCACTGAGATTTGCTGGGGCAGGGGGTGGTGGTGGTGGTGGTTTCAAAACCAGCAGATGCCTGCAGAGGTTGTAGAGGAAGGAGGCGGAAGCATAAGAGACTGGGCTGGATATTCCGTGAGGGCCTGGCCCAGCGGTGTTACAGACAGAAGTGCTGTCTTTTTTTTTTCTAAAGAAAGAATCTTTTTTATTTTTATTTATTTATTTTTTATTTATTTTTTTTTAATTTATTGCTTAAAGTATTACAAAGGGTATTACATATGTGTCCATTTTATCCCCCCGCCCTAGACAGTCCCCTAGCCTCCCCTATCCCCCAATGTCTTATGTCCACTGGTTATGCTTATATACATGCATACAAGTCCTTTAGTTGATCTCTTACCCCCCTACCTCCTGCCCCACAACCCTCCCCGGCCTTCCTGCTGCAGTTTGACAATCTGTTTGAGGCAGCTCTGCCCCTGTATCTATTATTGTTCAAAAGTTTATAATGGTCTCTATTATCCATGAATGAGTGAGATCATGTGGTATTTTCCTTCATTGACTGGCTTATTTCACTTAGCATAATGCTCTGCAGTTCCATCCATGTCATTGCAAATGGTAAGAGTTCCTTCCTTTTTAGAGCAGCATAGTATTCCATCGTGTAGATGTACCACAGTTTTCTAATCCATTCATCTACTGATGGGCACTTAGGCTGTTTTCAGATCTTAAGCTATGGTGAATTGTGCTGCTATGAACATAGGGGTGCATATATCCTTTCTGATTGGTGTTTCTGGTTTCCTGGGATATATTCCTAGAAGTGGGATCACAGGGTCAAATGGGAGTTCCATTTTCACTTTTTTGAGGAAACTCCATACTGTCTTCCATAGTGGTTGCACCAGTCTGCATCCCCACCAGCAGTGCACAAGTGTTCCTTTTTCTTCTCATCCTCTCCAGCACTTGTCGTTTGTTGATTTGTTGATGATAGCCAGTCTGACAGGTGTGAGATGGTACCTCATTGTTGTTTTGATTTGCATCTCTCGGATGATTAGTGACTTTGAGCATGTTTTCATATGTCTCTTGGCTTTCTGAATGTCCTCTTTTGAAAGGTGTCTATTTAGGTCCTTTGCCCATTTTTTGATTGGATTGTTTATCTTCCTTTTGTTAAGTTGTATGAGTTCCCTATAAATTTTGGAGATTAGGCCCTTATCAGAAATGACATTGGCAAATATGTTTTCCCACACAGTGGGTTTTCTCATTGCTTTGTTGATGGTTTCTTTTGCTGTGCAGAAGTAAAGAAAGAATCTTTTTTTTTTTTTTTAAATATATTTTATTGACTTTTCCACAGAGAGGAAGGGAGAGAGATAGAGAGTTAGAAACATCGATGAGAGAGAAACATCGACCAGCTGCCTCCTGCACATCCCCTACTGGGGACGTGCCCGCAACCCAGGTACATGCCCTTGACCGGAATCGAACCCGGGACCCTTCAGTCCGCAGGCCGACGCTCTATCCACTGAGCCAAACCGGTTTTGGCAAGAAAGAATCTTTTTAAAAAAATATATTTTATTGATTTTTTACAGAGAGGAAGGGAGAGGGATAGAGAGTCAGAAACATCGATGAGAGAGAAACATCGATCAGCTGCCTCCTGCACACTCCCCACAATGAAGGTACATGCCCTTGACTGGAATCGAACCTGGGACCTTTCAGTCCGCAGGCCAACGCTCTATCCACTGAGCCAAACCAGTCAGGGCCAGAAGTGGTGTCTTGCAGGGGCCGGGAAAGGGTGAAAGAAGCCGGAAACTGGACTGTAAGACCTTTCAGATCCTCACGGCTCTTCCGTGGAACTGTGTGTGTGGTGGGAACCCACAGCTCTTTGTTGCAGGATGTAGTTGGGGGCAGTAGGAAGGAAAGACTGGCTGTGACTCTGAAGCCTCACTGAGTGCTAAGAGAACAGTCTTCTCTGGACCTCCGTGCCACCGGAGGGAGGGAACTCAGTGAGTCCTCTCTCCTCGGCTGACTTCAGCGCTCCCGGCCAGAAGTGGCTGGTCTCTGACTGATGAACAGTCCTTGATCTCACACCAACTCTCTGGGTTTTCTGGCCACAGGGATTGGATTCAAGTACGTGGCTCTGGGAGACCTCATCATCCTCATCACGTTCGGCCCGCTGGCCGTGATGTTCGCCTACGCCGTCCAGGTGGGGTCCCTGGCCGTCTTCCCACTGGTCTACGCCATCCCGCTCGCCCTCAGCACCGAGGCCATTCTCCATTCCAACAACACCCGGGACATGGAGTCCGACCGGGAGGCGGGCATCGTCACGCTCGCCATCCTCATCGGCCCCACCTTCTCGTACATGCTCTACAACGCGCTGCTCTTCCTGCCCTACCTGATCTTCAGCATCCTGGCCACGCACTACAGCATCAGCCTGGCCCTCCCGCTGCTCACCATTCCCATGGCCTTTTCCCTGGAGAGGCAGTTCCGGAGCCAGACTTTCAACAAACTGCCCCAGAGGACCGCCAAACTCAACCTCCTGCTGGGGCTCTTCTACGTCTTTGGCATCATCCTGGCACCAGCAGGCAGCCTGCCCAAACTCTAAGGGGACCAGGAGCTCCTCGGGCAGCAGGTCGCCCTGTCTGAGACTGCGTTGAAAGCAGTTTCTCAGGAGAGAAGGTGATTTGGCAGTGAGGAGCCTAAGGATGGCTTGTAAACTCACACCTTTTTAAAAGTTATTATGTTGTTAAAGATAACGTCTTGTCCTGTGTTATGGGGAATCTTGAAATCACTGGTATCAGAAGGTGAGTTGGCTGCATGGCCCGTGTGTTATTTATAATTTCCACTAGAGGGTGCTGTTAGGTCACTTTAAAGTAGACTTGGTGAAGGAGCCGCCTGGCTTGGCCTCCAGACCTAAGAGAGCCATGTGGTAATGACTGGTGCCAGGCTCAGCGACACCAAGAGCACCTGTCTCTTCCTCTGAGCATTTGGGTCCTGAAATACACAGCCGAGAAGGTCCCTCAGCAACAGCCTAGCGTGCCTCCAGGCGATTTGCCTAAATTGTGATTCAGAGGCCTTTGTCCTTTATCTCTCTTCACTTCTTGTGGCAGCTGAGGAAGAGGGTCAGATCCCCCTGTGGCAAGACAAGCCAGCAGGACTGGGAAGGGGAAAGACCCACCCCTGGAGGAAGCTGAGAATATCGCTGTTTCAGGATGGGAATGGGCAGGGCGGCTGTTTCCCTTTGTGGAATCTGCTGGAATGATTGGGGGGGGCGGGGGGGCCCTACGACTCTCAGCCCTTTCAGTTACTGGTAGGAGCCCTGAAATTGTAGAGGCACCTGCTCTCCTTGCCAGCTACTTCCGGTCCACGAGGCTTCTTCGTCCTGCCCAATTGCCTTTCCGGTTGCTCCTTGACGCCCACCCTCCCTGTCTATCAGCTTCCCGTTTCTGTTTCTCCCAGCCTGGCATCCTGACTGATTGTGCAGCAGCTCAGCAGCTGAGCCCGGGACAGTTGCCACTTGCCACAGAGCCACAGGACGAGCAGGCCAGGGACATCAGCTCCTCCATGAAGGAATCAGCCAATAGACCAGGGGTGGGGGACGTCCGGCCCTAAATCGTTTGGTCTGGCCCTGCCCAGGCATTAGGGATGAGTGAATGAAATGTTTGACTAAATACAGCAGGCTCACTTTGAAGGTGATTATTTTGTATGGCCCACGAATGATGTTATAAATACCCAAATGGCCCTGGGCGGAAAGGAAGTTCCCACCTAACCCTGTTCAGACAGATGACAGGCCTGCCAGCTAAAGAGCTGCATCTTCCGCCTTGAAGACGGATGTGCAATACTGACCCTGCCTCTCCCAGAGCCTGCAGTTGCCTTGTGCAGAGATAGCTTGCTCCCAGAATGGGGGAATTCCAACGTGGATCAAAGCTGCTTTTCATTTCATTGCCTGGGAAGTATAATTTCTGGGCCAGACTTGCTCAGTTGCATTTGGTCTAAGACTGAAATAGATTGAGGCCATCATTGTTGTATTTTTCTGTTGTGATGATGGCCATTCTGATAGCTATTTCAGAGGCTTGACCTGCAGAAAATGACATAGAATTAGTTCTTAGTTCTGAAAATCAGGCTAATGATATGATTTGGCTCCTTCAGTTGGAATTAGCTTACTTGGAAAAAACATATCTGGAAATGGCAGAAGTTCCTCAAAGGGGAAGGTGGTTTGTATAGAGATCTGAAACCCTCAGATGGTGGCCCGAGCCCAGGAACTAGGGAAGGAACCCTTCTTCCCAGCACCATCTTTGGTTCACGCCAGGCTTATGGCGTTTTGGTGCTCACAGGGTCTTGCCTTCAGAGGCCAGCTCTTTGGGCCCCTCCTCAGAGCAGACCGTTTTCACACAGGGCTCAGCCTGCGGCTGTAGGACCAAGACCTGTGTCCGCAGACCAGACCCACCTTTGTAAGCGCTCCCTCCTGTTGGGGTGTCAGCCTCCACATTGTGCTCTGGTGCGGATTTTAATGCATATTTTTATACACAAATGTTTCTAAAAGGCCAAACTTGATGCCAGGTTTTATATGCAGGTCACCATAATTTATATTATATCCGTAATTCAATGAAATTTTCTTTAGACTTGTTAATAAAATGAAATAAAAATTATGTTTCCAGTTTTTCTTTGCTTTCCTCCTACTTCTTGTCTTATTGTCTGATTGTGAACTCTGGTTCATAAATCTCTGGAGACCAGCACAGGGGCACTGGGGTATTGGGTGGGGGTGGGATGGGGTACATGATCTTTAGTGATGAGCTGGGCTAGGATGGGACCAGATTTGATGGAGTCCTTAGAAAAGACAGTAGGGACCACTCAGAGCCAGTGTGGATTCGCCAAGAGCCAGTCAGGCCAGATTAACCTAGTTTCCTTCTGTCCTTTCCTACTTTTATGTTTCTTTTTCCTTGAGAGGGTCTCTGTGCTGATAGATTGAGAACACGTAGTCGGTAGAGTACATTTGGGTTTCAGCGAGGCATCTGACAATATATCTTTATGAACAAAGCAGAGAAACGTGGAATGGATAGCAGTCTAGTTGGATGAATTTCTGGGGGACTGACAAGCTGTGAGCGAGAGCTCACTAATCAGCGTGTCACTGTCAGCAGGCAAGGGCGCCTTTGGCAGCAAGTGTGCGCCTGCCCTCTGCCCTCTGCCCTCTGCCCTCTGCTCTGCCCGGCTGGGTTCAACACCTGTTGTTACTGGTTGGGATTAGGCAGCCCAAATCGCAGGTCTTGTAAATCTTGGGAGGAAGAGCTTATAGAATGACAACAAATCAGATGGCTGCTTCGATGTGTCAGAGGAAGACTTTAGCATGAATAAATAGGAAGCAATATACTTGGATCCCCCAACATCCAAAGGGGGAGATCCCTGGAGTGCTGACAATAGATGTGGTGGGTGTGATTTTTATTAATGACGCGGATACCACATCACAGGCCTTTATTTCTGTGATCCGGATTTATCCAGTCGGGAGGCTGGAAATTTAACCTTAGCCACCTCTCGGGCTGGCCCCCATCCCAGGACTCCTGGCCCTCCGTGGGGCAAGAAGCCAGAGATGTTGGCTGGGCCCTGCTCCATTTGCTCACTATCTCTATGGTCGCTTCTCTGCTCCGCCATGCTGGGGTTCAGCCCTGGAATCTGCCCTTGCTTCTACACTCTGCTCTGAAAGGGCTCAGAATGTCCCTGACAGAGCCCTCCGCTGACAAGTACCGCAGGTCTGCAGGGCACTAGTCCCTGCCACCCCACCCCCATTTCTGCCCCGTCTCCGGGAAGCACCCATTCTCCCCATGACCTACCTCATCTACCTCCCCTATTTACAGTGTCTCTCTCCTTCCCCACCCCTTGCAGGACCTTTGCACAAAGTCCCACCCACGGTGCCTTTGGAAGCCCAATGCTGGCCTCTTGCGTGGGGTGAGGAAGAAGATGCAAACACATAATTTATTATCTTACTAACTCTTCTGTTATTCCTGCATTCAAACAAGCAAAAATCTGAGCCTGTGACCTGGCCTGAACCTCAGTTGAGTCAGTGAGCTCTGGCTTCCATGAAGGTGAATGTGATCGGAGGTGGAATTAATAGATTAGTGTCCAGGACAATGAAGGCGCAGGCCCTGCCCATCCCCGAGCTGTCGGGCCACAGGTGGGAGCAGGATCCATTCCTGGGCACCTTTCCTTCTTATTTTTTCTTGAGAGAGCAAATACGGGGGTTGGTCAAGAGCATGCTGCGGGTGCAGTCCGCTTGGCTTTCAGCAAGGTGTTCGCCAGTGTGATGTGAAATGTGGAATTAGTGAAAATCCAGTTGGGAACTTGATTTCTACGTGCACATGCATGTGTTTTCACACTGGGAACAGCTGCAGCAGAGGTTTTACGTCCTGGTGTGGGAGCCACGTTTTGAAGATGTTATTAACAAACTGGATCTTGTCCAGAAAGCACTAGGCAGCCTGGTGAGGGCACTTAAACTACGGCAGCGTGGAAAGGAGACGCACGAGAGGGCTGTCTTGGGGGAAAGAGATTGGGCTTTTTTCCCCCCTTTGACTTCAAAGGCAAAGCTAAACCGATGGGTGGAAGTTATATGGCCCCACGTTTAAGCTCTTAGGTCAGGAGGAACTTTCTAGCTAGTAGAGGAATCGCAAGTGAGATGTTTGGCACGTCCCAGTGGGCGGTGAGTTCCCTGTGACTGGAGGCATTCAAGAGAAAGGAACACTTGTCAGGAACACTGCAGCGGAGAGTTGGACATCAGAGAAGGGGTATATGAGAAGACCTCAGGGTCTTCTGATCCTGCGACATGGTTGTTCTGTTGTTAAGGGATTGTCTCAGACCTGCCCTCAGGGGTTGGGAGGACAGAGAACAAGAAAAATGTTGACATGCCCTCTTCTCAGTTTTAGACTGTTGTCTGTCGGCCCATTTTTACAGGCACAGTTGCGGTTGATATTCCTTTCTTTTTATATTGTGCACACACACGTGCACCTGCATGCATGCCTGTGCGCATGCGCGCGCGCATACACACACACACACACACACACACACACACACACACACACATGCACACACACAGAGTTGATTTCACTGTCAAAAGCCTTTGAAGTGAGGTGGATGACAGCTCCCTTCCCCCGAGCCCCGCGGACACTCTGCTGCTAATGGACTGTCAGCCTCTTTCATTACGGGCTCCAGACTGTGCTGGCTGGTGTAAGAGTAGTGCCTCTGGCAAGAACCTGGCACTCGGGCCTCAGCCAGTTGACATTTGTGATTTGCCTTTCTTCACATTGGGACAGCCCTCCCACCGTGAGTGACTAAGCCCGGTTGCCAAACAGTGGTGTGAAGCAAGTCGGGTCGCCTGCCTGAAGAGGCGAGGAGGACCGGGTCTGGGCGCTTCAGGAGGGCTGCGACAGGTACCTGGGGGTTGGGAAAGCCTGAGACCTGACAGGGGAGATGAGCAGTTGGAGGGCCAGGAGGTGCCATGGGCCCTGCTGGGTGCTGCCCTCAGCCTTGGCACTGTTTCTCTGCCCTCTGGTCTTCAAGATGAGGCCCCTCAGGCCCCTGGCCCTCTGCCCTTCAGCTCCCCAGGAGGCCGGCTCTACAGGGATCAGTAAGCCCGCTTGTCTAACCTGCCTTGGCTGGCTGGGCGGGCCAAAGTTTCAGGTCAAAGTCTCCCATCCCTGAAGAACAGAGAGTGGTCACTGGCTCACCTCCGATGACCCAGGAAGCTCTAGCCTCAGGTTAAATTCCCCCATCTGCTTGTCTCTATTTTTTCTGCTTCTTATATTTCTCACCGGCCACTGATTCAGAGTGCCCACGTCAGGAATGTGCTGGCCACGGGGGAGGGGGGGAGACTGAGAGCCCCGCCCCACATTCAGGGGGAGCAGCACCAGGAGGTGATAGTGACGCGTGTTTGGGGCACAGAAGACTCGCTGTTTAGGTTCCGTGAGAGGGGGCTATGTCAACTATAGAATCAACACTGATAAACACAGTGCATTGAGGTTAGAGATAGGGTGCCGGGTGGAGGTCATCAGGAAGGCTTCCAGGAAGAGGTGATGATGAGCAGGGATCAAGACTTCCAGGAAGAGATGGCCAGAAGGGTGACTGTTTTCTTCAAAGCGGAGGTGCCGGTGGACGGCTGCCTCCAACTCCCCCAGCTAGAGAAAAATCCCTGATTTCTGCCTGAGAATGTGGACGTTTTTCTTAATTAACCTCTCTGGCTGCACAGGCAGCCTCGGCGTTGAGGCAGGTGTGCGAAGACCCAGCACGCCACTGGCAAGGTCAAAGCCCGAAGAATGAAGAACCCTGACACCTCCTTGCTGAGAAACAAGCAGGAGCGATGGTGGGCCATTAAATCAGCCAGACTGCCAATACCTAATCAAGATGAATGGCTCCGGGAGACCAGGCCCGGGGGTAGTATATCCTAGGAGGGGAATGGGAAGACGGCCTCGGTGCGGGGCTGCACCGAGGCCAGGGAATGCTAGGCAAGGAGGAGTTCAGATTCAGGGGGGATGCCAAGGAGGTCCAAGGTCACTTCTGGCACCAATTGTGAGCAACTAGGGCCTTTCAGCTGCCACTTTCCATGGCCGAGGTCCCTGGCCTACTGAGCACTTGCTCCGGGCCATCTCTGTCCTAGGACTCAAGGCACGCCTCTGCCTAAGGAATCACAGTGAGCTGTGCAGAGATCACATCCACATACATTATCCTGATGCCACCCCAAGGGTCATAGCAGAGCTCCAAGGGCTGTGGGAGAATGGCTTCTGGGAAGAGATGGCAGAGATGAATTTCTCCAGGCCCCATTGTTCCAAACTGCTGGTGGCAAGAGCCTGTTTTACCTCTTCTTCTGACCTCTGATCCTCTCTGGCACCATCTGCAGGCGGCTGCCAGGCCAGTCTGTCATTCACAGTTAATTGAGCAAGTATTATGTTAACAACACTTGGTTAGCCTCTGGGGGATAATGGCGAATTAGACCTGGCCCCTGCCCTCTGGCCTCTTGCAATCTCGAGGAAAGACACACCGGCACTCCCCACGCCACTCGTCTGATGAAACACGCCGGAAGCGGCCAGCATTGGGTTTAAGCCCAGGCTGTATCCCTCGCCCGGATGTACTCAGCCAAGATGTGCAGCCTCTGTCAGCTTCCAGCGCCTTCTTTGCAAAGGAGGATGAGAGCATTTACCTTGTGGGGTAGCTCTGAGTGTAAGCGAAGTGTTGTTCGGAGAGTTCCTAGCATGGCGCCTGGTCTGTAGCAGGCACTTCATAAAGCGAGCCCCCTTTCCCCTTCCGTTGGTGACTATGTTAGAATGTGGGTGCTTCTGTGTGATCGCAGAGTTCCCCGCCGATGGGCAGAGGACACGGCTGGCACCGTGGTGTTCTTCACAGTGCTGGCCTGTTCACTCGCTCGTTCAACAAACATTTCTGAGAAGTGCCAGTCACTGTGTTAAAAAATTCAAAATAGAAGACAAACAAGACCAGGTCCCTGCCCTCATGGAGCTTCTAAGGGAGTAAGGGAGGAGGAAAAGAAAAAGAGCTCTTCATTGTGAAGCTGTGTGTGGGGGTCCCTTTGCTGTTTCCTGGGGGCTCTGCTCTGGTGCGCACACAGGTTCTGTGAGGAAGCTGAGGGCGAGCCAGAGCTGGTTGTGTGAGATTAGAATCCCAGTGG